CCTCATGAACCTGCCATATTAATCTTGAAAGCAAGAAAGGTATAGAAGATGAGGACGCCACAACACAATCTCAGAACTTGCAAATGCTGCAATGGATTTCACATAGCCTGTAATTCATCTTGTCCATCTCCCATCTGGCATCTCTGCCTTCTCAAGCCCACTTCTGAATTGTGCCAATCCTTCCATCGTATGTGGGAATCCTTAATGTCTGTGACCTTGCCACTGCCAGCCACTCCTTGGTAATTTTTTTCCCCTGATTTTCTGCTGCTGGTTCAGGTCGTCCAGCAAAGAATCTCTGCCTGAATCGATGTCCTTGTCTCCACCCATACCGTCTTCATTGGTGCTGAGACTTGAGAGACCTGCAATGGTTCTGCATCGGCTTTCCCTCCATATAGACCAGAGCGTAACCTTTCTGATCATCCCAAACCAGATCTTCTCCGACTTGTGGAAGTGAGTGAGCAGGGATGTTAGTCCATAGGAGGAGAGGGAGTCAGATGGGGTGTTCGGGAAGGGGAGTCGGGAAGAGGGAGTCCCAGAGGTCTGATGGCCTAGCCCAATGTTCCGTCGCTTCCCTACATCCTATTAGGCAGTGTTACATATATTCCGGTTCATTGTCCGAACATGTCACGCATAGGTCCGAAGACTCCAGAGCCCAAACTGTTAGGGTTATTCTTATCTTTTCTGATGTGCAACCATTGGTTGACCCTTAGCACCACATGTGAGATGAGCAATTGAAGGCTTCTGATTTCAACCGGACGGATTGATTTGGGCTTTTTCCATGGTATCTGTGAGAGCTGATTAGCGTGAACTGCAACTCTTCCGTAAAAAAAAATAAAAAAATCTAGAATAAACTTCCACTGTTCCGCGACAATGTCGACATAGGATCCACCATGGCTAAGGCAAGACTCTCACGTCAGTGACTTGACTGGACTGATTAATCAAGAGAGTGCAGAATCGATGGCCTGATGTGGCCATCTCTTAACGCATGTAGAGTGCAGGAGAGGACAGAGATAATAAGAATGCAATAAGGAGAGGGGAGGAGGAAGGATGAGGAAGGACGAGGCCAATGAAAACGAGGTAGAGGAAGAGGCAAACAAAGGCGATTGCACACGGATCTGCATCACAGGTCTGCCTTACATGTGTCATCGTCTCCACAGCATTCAGTTGGCTCTCTCTCTCCCAACCCCTCGTCCCCCCCATTTCCTCTTGCTCTCTCTCCCCCCCACTTTCCCTCTCTTGCTTGCTCACTGTCTGTGTCTTACCGCTGCGATATACATGTGCATGTTGCCACAGAAGAGTCTCACATGCACTTGAGCTTGGTTTTGCGACGGCATTAACGATATATTTGAATTTTGGACGGTGAGTTCACGAGAAACAATTTAGCACTGTTGAAAAGGCACCTGCAGAATTCCTTGCCTACCCCTTCTGCAACATCAAAACATACAAAGAAACCGTTATGCAACAGAAATAAAATTTGATCAACACATCTGCTCTTGTAGCTAGTTGAGTTGGCTGCTGAGTTCAAGCCTAAGGCAGATCTAATCATCTTGATAAGGCATGTGCCCGTGCATTGAATTCAGGACTCTAGATGCTGATACGTGCGGCATTTTCAAAGCAGTGCCGCTTACAATTTTAAGCATGGCACCAACTTTGTTCATAACAAGCGTTGTGCTTCCTCGTATTTTGAAATCAACCTGAACCGGACCAACTTTGGCAGTTCTAGCATTGTAACGAGTACCTTTTATACCAGATAAAGGGGCCTTGTCACGTCTCAGTCAACGAGTAGTGTAATTTTGGGCTTCAGCGAGCTTCGCAGGGTTTGTCCTTGACGGGCCCTAACGGATGGGACACATCGACTAATCTTTCCCCTTCCCGTAGGATTTACGCGCGCCTTAGCGAGCGCGCTCGGAATGTTTTCCTTCAGGTTTCCTGAATTCCTTAGATCTTGGGTGCCCATTGGGATGCTTTGCAACGAGTCCTTTCCGTTTGCATGTACATTTTGGAAACATCCCTGCAATCCCCGTGAATTTTTTTGTTGATGAATGATTGAATAGGAAGAGAGAGAGAGAGAGAGAGAGAGAGAGAGAGAGAGAGAGAGAGAGAGAGAGAGAGAGAGAGAGAGAGTTAACAGTATGCTGATCGTGCCCTTGGTTCCAATGACAGGAAACGTCGGTGATGCTCATGCCCTGGAATCCCTTGTGCGAAAATGGAGCACTCAGCTGTCTGCAACCACGGCAAGCATCCTGCAGGTGATCGTGAATTCCATCACAAGCAGCCAGGAAAGGCTGCTAAACGTCCTTCTGTGAAGGAGGAAATTTTGAAATTTGAAACTCTTTCATGCTGTGCAGATGAATAATTGTTTCTTCCGCTACAGAGAAATTGTCTCATGTTCGAGTGTTATACACTACATCAGTTTTCTTTCAAATATCAGTACATCAGTTGAAAATTAAAATCACTATGAGTGTGCATATTGGCTTTTATCGAGAGACGGTTAACGGGGCCCCAAATATTCGCCGTTTTCGTTGGCAATTGCGGTGCGAATTTCATCAAAAATTATAAAAACAAACGATATGAGACCATAGTGCAAACATCAAAAAAGGAAACAGGCCAAAAAAAACGAAAAAAAAAACAAAAAAACACTATGAAACCCTCCACACATGACGTACCCTAAAGCACATATATGTCACACAAAAAGAAAAACAAGAAAAAAAGGAAAAAATCAGCACAATATGACAGTTTCAGTGCAATTCGGTGCAAAATTCGTCGAAAATAACACCCCTGGTTAACCACGTGTGGAGAGACGGTTAACGGGGTAATTTAGAATCAGACTCGATCAGTTACTTCATTTTATCCAGCTAGTTCCATCTGGATTCGAAGTTCGAACGCAGGTCTAGATCAGGTCTAAGTCTTAACAGTTCATGGGTCTAGCAACTGAGGTAGGTCTGTTGGTATAGCAAGACACTATCACTAATTGCATTCTAAAGTCTTTTTTTCTTTTTTTTTTCAGTTTCTCTTTTCTTTTTCAATTGCATTGGAAAGTTCGATTCTGTTCCTTTTGGTTAGGTACAGGGCCCATGCTAATTTACTCTGTATCGTTCCAATTTTAACGGATGTACATTTTGAAATAAACTATTCATCGTCTGGTTTTCATTTCTTTTACGTGGTTTTCGTAACTCCCTCCCAGCAAGCCCGAAGAGAGCATTTTGCAGTTGGGGCATTCAATGTCTACAATATGGAAGGCGTCATTGCGGTTATCAGGGCTGCAGAGAAGAGCAAGAGCCCCGTGGTATTACAGGTAATTGTTCCCTAAGATGAACAGGATAATTTCCATTTTTACTATTTAGTGGAGAATAAAGTCCAGCTTCAAACGAACTTTATCTTTTCTGACTTGCCGGTGGAATAGGAACCAGAAGGACCCTTCCCAGAAGGGAAAAGGAGCCAGAAGTCCCAGAACCATAAGTTTCTTTTTTTTTTTTTTTTTTTTTTTTTTTTTTTTTGTTTGAAAGTCCAAAGTTCCAAACAAACATGATTTCACAGCTGATGATCGTGGGCGATAACTTCACACAACAGATATATCACCTGTGCTGAGAACTCCGGAGTCCCAGTGAACTTCACAATAACCCCACACTGCGCATGTGCATGTATTCTGCAGTTCTATGTATGATAAGGAGACTTAGAAAATACCTGTTTTTGATGCGATACCCCTCTCGTTGTTCCCTTCTGTTATTATGCCCCCTACATATGGGAGAAGTTCAGACAACTGTCTGTTCAAAATGAGCCTTCACCATCATTCTCTCACTTCATCGCTCGCTTCTTTCAGAAGTTCATCATCTTCAGAATTATTTTCAATATCTGAATGACTTTTGGAATATTGACGAGTTATTTGCCGCTCAGTACTTACTATCTCCTGTGACCTGTCAACTGTCTGGTCGTTCCTCGGAGTGACCACTGAATGGATTTTTTCACTATCACTTTCCACAATTTCCTTCGCTTAACGATTCTTTCTTGAACATTCATTTTCAAATCCGAATGAGCAACCACATGCTTGATGATCCGTGTTCGCCATCACCCGCTCTCCTTTTTTTTTCCCTTTTTTTCCCTTTTTTTTCCTTTTTTTTTTTCTTTTTTTTTTTTAACTGTGCCTTGTTGCTGATCTGTTCAAGTTCAATGTGAATGACCAAACATTACACAATCATTTGATTACCTTATAATATAAACTGCAACTTGTTTTTTGAAAAGGAAAAAAAAAAAGTTACACAATTTACACTCCTTGCAATCCCTTTTCTTGTCGACTCTTTCCTTCTCAAGTTCTCATCAGTCCGTTTCATGGCCAAGTGGTCCATTGATCATTGCTGAAGCACTATGCTTCTTGGTATGCTTTCTTTCTTTTTTTTTTTTCTTTTTTTTAATCCGCTAATTATAAATGTCTAGACATTTATCTCTCTCTGAGATGTACATCTTGCTATGCTTTCTTTGTGGACTGTCTATTGTAGATCCATCCGACATCTCTAGAACGTGGTGGGGAGGCTCTTGTCAGCTGTTGCCTTGGCGCTGCGAAGCGAGCTGCGGTAAGCTCTTACCCAACTCTGGCTTAGAACATTAGGACGAACTGGGGGAAAAAAAAAAACAAAAAAAAACGGAAAAGAGGACAGGCTCAAATTTCTACCCAATTC